TAATTAGATAATAGTGATAAAATAAATTAAAACTTTATAAACACAATAATTTCATCTTTGTTATTTATATTGAATTGGAGTTCATATTATATTGCAGTAATGTAAGTGTTGCACAATATTTTTTCATTTCTAAAATATATCTATATTTACTTATTATTTGGAAATATATATAATAATTTACTTCGTAGGAATCCAGGAGTTCTTTCTCAAGAATCCTAGGGATGATGTGTACCATTGGTTCGATCACTTCACGATGATTGCCACATATCATTCTTGGGATGATGCTCGATATTTGCATGAGTTTCCCACGTGTCTCCAAGGGATGGTGTTGCAGTGGTACAATAATTTGAGAGTAGCCAACTCGTGGGGATTGGAGTGTTCTCCCAGATGTCTTCAAACACGCCTTTGGACATGCCGATGACTATGATGATGCCTTTCAACAATTGCATCGTTTTCACCAAGGGCCATCTGAGTCGGTGATGCAATTTGGCATTTGTTTCCGAAGTCTTTTGCTTCGTGCGGAGCCAAATATGTCGGAGCTGATCAAACTAGGAATGTTGTGGCCAACACTTTGTCAAAACTTTGTCCTACTTGTGCATGCACTTGCTCCTACCACCCTTGATGATGCTCTTTGCTTGGCACAACGTTATGAGACTTCGCCTCTTCCACTTCTCGCTGCACATTCTTCAGTTCCACTTTCTATGGGTGATGGTCTTGTTCCAATGGAGGTTGATGCTACTGCTGCTCAAGTCCAAGACAAGGGCGAGGATGTGGTCATGGTCGTGATGTTCGCTGCTGAGCATGTGATGAAGTTGGTCATACTTATCGCGTTGTTGGCGTTTTCCGGATTGGTGACCTCCATTTCCTAGGTGGAAACCTTGGCGTCAGCAACATCCCGTTGGTGCTGCTGCAGTGGAAGGTTTGGACACCAAGATGCATCCGGGAAACAAGGAGTCGCACGAGTAATGAAGGGACCTTGCACGAATAAGTCAGTGACCCCTCCATCTTTCTTTCGGGAATATCATCAAGGGGTTCACTCGGCACTGGTTCATCCATTATTTACTTTCCAAGCTCGTTTTTATAACAAAAGGTCTCCTATTATTCTCTCCGTGTTGGTTGATACAGGTTTGAGTTTATCTTCTATTGCTTGACCTATTGCCACTTGTGCAGTGGAACTAGTTTTCATTCTTTATGGCAATAGCTGTACATATGCATGTGCACAAGATGAGGTGGACCTAGTTGTGCGTGTGGGCGATCTTGAGCTTGAGTTGCAGTCATTGCGGGTGGTGCCGAGTCAAGCTTTTGACCTCATTCTTAGTATAGATTGGTTTCAGCACAGTCATGCCAAGTGTGACTTTGAGGCTTCTCCCCCTTGTCTTATACTTTCTTATCTTTCATCTTGTAAGCTCCTGAGTTTGGACTTCCTGGGAGGTCACCCAGCCCAGTACTATTCAAACCCAAGGACGCTTAACCCCAAGTATCCCAAGACCCTTAATCGATTGGAAAAAGGGGGTGCACTCTTATTCATGGGCCCTTTTCCTTTATATTTGAACCCCATTGACCATCTCTCGAGTCGTTCTCTTTGGTTGCTTACACATCTATTCCTCTCACTTCCGTACCTCTTTGTCCCTCTATTTCTACCTTTGCTTCCATTAGTTTTGTTCCCCCACTATTTCCTCCTATGTTTCCATCTTGTTTTACTCTTTTCTTTTCTGATCCCTCTGACAACCTTTCTATTGCAGCGGTTGACTAGCTCATGAAGGAGTATTTTGATTTCTTTGAGTTTGACTTATCGTTTGGGGCCAAAATTGCCACACGTCATCCGATTCTAACCGGGGATGCTCGTCCAATCAAGGTTCTTGTTCGTCGTCGATCACCCAAGAAGATCAAAATTTTACATGCAAACGTCAAGGAGATGTTGGAAAACGGTGTTATTCGGAAGTCACGGAGTCTTTGGGCATGTGAACCTCATCTTGTGACTAAGCCTGATGGGAGTATTCATTTCTGCATTGACTATCGTCCGTTAAACGAAGTGACGATCCCAAATGTGTACCCTCTTCCTCACACTACTGATCTCTTGAATCATTTGGGGCAAAGTCATTGGTTCACCAAGTTAGATCTTGCTTCTAGGTACTGGCAAGTATCGATGGCCGAAGTAGATATTCCTAAGACTGTTTTTTGTACACCATTTGGTTTGTACAAGTTCTTGGTGATGCCGTTTGGTTTGAACAATGCTCTAGCAACTTTCCAGTGGATGATGGACAAGGTTCTTTGCGATATACTGGAGGTGACTGTTAACTTCATTGATGATGTCTTGATCCACTCAAAGGGGACATAAAAGGAGCACTTTCGTGATGTTTGTAAAGTGTTGGATCTACTATGTGACGTTGGTTTAAAGTTGAAGCAGTCAAAGTGCGTATTTGGGTCCAAGGACAACTTATCTTGGGTACCGTATTTCGTATGAGGGTTTGCAAGTTAATCCTGAAAAACTTGTGGTTGTTCTAAAGTTCCCTACTCTAAAGTGTGTGAATGATGTGTAGTGCTTCTTGGGCAAGGTGTAGTATCTTGATTATTTTGTGGATCATCTTTCTAATTGCACTACACCATTGTGAGCGTTGCTAAAGTCATCAACGTCATTTTTCATTTAGTCTCCGGACTATGAGCGGGCATTCATGGATCTCAAAAAGCTATTGATGACTCCTTTGGTTTTGGCATATCCTGACTACACTCGACCTTTTATTTTGCGCGTGGATGCTTATGACATTGGCTTTGGAGGTGTGTTGATGCAAGAAAGCTCGAGTGTGCCTGGTCAGCACCATCCCATTGCGTATATAAGCCATACATTACAACTAGCGGAGATAAACTACTCCAACATAGAGAAGGAGTGTTTAGCAGCAGTCTGGGAAACTTCATGCATATCTACATGGTTCTCGGATGTTACTTGAAGGTGACCATGTTGCTGTTACTTCATTATTGAAGCGGAAGATCCTAATTGGTTGTACTGCTCGATGGGCTTTAAAGCTTCAGATATATGATTTTGATATTGTTCATCACCCAGGGAGTTCTATGACTGATACTAATGTCCTTTCTCGAGCTCTTTTTCCTTCTCCACTCTCTTCTCATGTTTTTTATGAGCCTATTATTTCAGCATTTATGGATTTTCTATACGAGGATTCTGTGCCGTTAGCGGTTATTGTACTTAATGTTCAGTGTCCACAAGGTGTAGAGCAAGATCTACCTTCTCTCGATAAAGTTTGTGAGGCTCAAAAGATTGAGCCAAGGATTTGAAGGCTTTGAGATGGGTGTGAGAATCTTGCATCACTTGCTAGTGACTTGTTTTTCCGGCATTTACATTCTCAATATCGCCTTGAAGATGGCCTTTTTTATTTTGACGGATCCTGATGATCATTTACGGTTGGTGGTGCCTTCTGTCTTTATTTCGCGGTTTCTCCATGCCTATCATGATTCTCCTATTCTAGGTGGGCATATGGGACATCATTGTATAACCGAGAAGCTGCGCAGGTCTTTCTATTGATCGGAGATGCAACATGATATTATCTGGTATGTGCGTAATTGCGTTTGGTGCCAAACTCGTAATACTCCCTCTCGTGCTGCGGAAGGACGGTTAGAGTCAATTGTAGTTTCCCATCTGTTTGAGTTTGTGGCATTTGATTTTTTTCCACGGTCAACTACTGGCAATGAGTATGTTATTATTGCTTCTGACTACTTGACTCATTAGGTGAAAGTTGGTGCTCTTGCTAGCACTTCTGCAACTACTGTTGGATACTTCCTCCTCAATCGAGTAGTGTTCCAGCATTTTTGTCCAAAGTGGATTCTTTCGGATAATAGTCCCTCATTTATAACTGAGGAATTTTATGTTTTGATGTCTCAGTTGGGGATATGCCACACTTTCACAAGTGCTTATCATCCACAATCAGACGGTCTGGTGAAACGACTTGTTCGGACATTCAAAGGGATGATTGCAAAATATGTGAACTTTTAACATTTGGATTGGGATGGTTATTTGCCGTCTTTTCGGTATGCATATGTTACAAAGGTGCAGAGTTCTATTGGTGCTTCACCATATAAACTCCTATATGGTCATGATCTAATATTACCAATGGAATTGGGTTTACCTTCGCAATTGCCACGAGTTGCCAATGCTAAGTCGTGGGATTAGTATTTGACGAGCATTCTTCCACTTGTCTAAGCAGAGTCTGCCTAACACTTAGGCCGTGTACAAGTGGGACAACAACAACATTACAACTCCCATCATTGTCCACCTGCGAAGCACAAAATGGATGATTTGGTGTTAGTCCATTTTCCCCATTTTACGGTACGTGGTTTATCTAAAGGGCTCCTTGTGCAATGGAAAGGATTGTATCGAGTGTTGCAGCAAGTTGAATCACAAGTTTATGAGGTTTAGCATGACGTCTAGTAGGCCGATCCTTTAGAAATTGTGCATATGCAGGGGTTAAAATGCTTCATACAAAGGGATCAAAAGCAATTAATACCACTTATAGATCCACCAATGCCTCCTCCTGATATCCCTTTAAATCTTGGCCCATATATAAGAGAATCCTGGTAGTTTTTTATTATTCCGAGAAGAGGGGATGATATGAGGGCCAAGTGTATTATTATGATGCCATATACAAATATTAGTGTAGTGGGATTTTAGTAGCCATCGGATTAGTTTCAATCTGGACAATTTACTCCTATATATATGCTAAGGTTTTTGGGCTAATTGATATATACACACTCACAAGTATAATTTTTTTTTTCATATTTTTGGTTTTTTTATTCCTTATATATAAATAGCATCTAACAGATTTCATTAACTATTAATTTAATAGCTTAAATATACCTATTTTTTAACTATTGATTAAAGTATACTTTAACCGAACCAGAAAAGAATATTCAAGGAGGGCTTTGGTTGGGTTTGAAGGGTTGGTTGGTTTTGCGGTAGTACGCTTTTCAACGCGCACGCCTTCCACGATGTCAAATAAAACAGCGCAAACAAGAAGACCTTGCAAGGCCCTAGACCGATCGTTCGAATCTCCATCTGCACGCGATCGACTGATCGATCGAATCTCCATCCGCGGGCGATCGACTGATCGATCTATCTCTCGCCAAGGTAAGCGCTCGCTCTCCGGTTAGGTTTTGATGCCTGGCGAGCTAGGGATTGAAATGCGGGTTCTCACGAGCTGTCTGCCAGGATGAAGATCATCGATCGAGTCAAGGAGGCATGGAGCGAGGACAAGATCGTCTACTCCTTCGAATTTATGCCTCCCAGGACTCCCAAGGGGATGAAGCTACTCCTCGACAGCCTCGACCGCATTGTCATGTTCCAGCCCAGCTTTTGTGACATTACTTGGCGTGCCAGCAGCTCCGAGATGACGCTCGAGATCGCCAGGAAGATGAAAACCATGGTGAGATGCTTCTTCCTTTAGCTTTTGCCTTTCCTCCTTTTACTTTTGGGCTTGGATGGGCTCATCGATTTCTTCCTCTCTCATCTTCTCGATCAGTTTGGTTTGGAGACGATGATGCACTTGACATGCGTGGGATCGACACCGGAGAGGATTGACAGTGCTCTCGACTTTGTTCGATCGCATGGAGTGGAAAACATCCTTGCTCTTCGCGGTGATCCTCCCGAGGGAGAGGAGGCCTTGGATGTTGCTGGCAGCGGCGATCTCTCTTGCGCTCTTGATCTGGTGAGGAGATTACTTTCGTTGGCTTTTAGTTTTGGAAGGCTTCTCAGACTCTACGGAACAGGTTTCACATATTCGGGAAACTTACGGATCTTCTTTCGGCATTGTTGTTGCTGGCTATCCTGGTATTGCAAAGTCCTGAATTTCTTGCAAACTTGTGATTTCTTTTTTCTTTCCAGAGGCTCATCCAGATGTGATTCAAGCGGACGGATCTGCCACCGAAGAAGATTACCAAAAAGATCTCGCGTATCTCAAAAAGAAGGTAAGATCTTTTCACGGCTTTATAAAGCACGGACTCCAGGTTCATGAGATCTTTGGATTTTGTACCAGGTTGACGCGGGAGCCGATTTGATCATCAGCCAGCTCTTTTATGACACGGATATCTTCCTGAAGTTCGTCAACGATTGCCGACAAATCGGCATAACTTGCCCAATTGTTCCTGGAATTCTGCCAATCAACGATTATAGAAAGTTCTTGCGAATGACGACACTCTGCAAGACGAAGGTTTGATCTTTTCTTGTTCTGCGAGAGAACTTAAATGCTTTTTCTTCTCAGGTCCCTGCAGATGTTAGAGATGCTTTGCAGAGCATCAAGGATGATCCGGTAGCAGTGCGAAAGTATGGAATTCACCTTGGAACCGAGATGTGCAAGAAGATCCTTGCTCACGGAATCAAAGCATTGCATCTTTACACGCTAAACTCCGAGAAGACGGCGATTGAGATCTTGAAGGTATGCTCCAATGCTTGCGTAGTTCTATGTGATACTCAAAGATTTCGTCTGGTTTTATAGAACCTTGGCCTGGTCGACGTGAGCAAAGTGGCCCGTCCTTTGCCTCCAAGCGCACAATGCAAACAGGAAGAAGGGTGAGCTTCGCTAGCAGCAAAAAAATGAGAAAAAAATGGCAATGTTGTTTAGTCTAAAAGGCTCTGTTTTTTTTTTCATTTTTTTTTTCAGGACTGCCACTGAAAATTCAGGCGTTTTGGTCGTGGAGTTAAGCTCCGCATAGCCATTTTACCACTGATTCATTCATTGAAGTGCGCCAAAAAGATTTTGCTTTCGGGCGATTCTAACAAGAAGCATTTTACTCAATAACAATCTCTTGTCAAAAAAATCTCACGTTGTTTTGTTTGGGCCAACACATCGACGGTCCATATCGTTTCCAAAATCCCACGGCTGCGATCACGCAGCCGATCCAAAGGCCCAGATCTCTTGTCGCGCAGAAGAATAAGAATGTACTCGCAGGCATATTCGCCATGGCTATGGCTACATTTTTCCCATGAAGGCACTTCTGCGCTAAGTCCCGGACTAAAAAATTCCGTGTTGCTTGGTTGGATCCTTTGCATCGGGGTTAGGTAGGACGGAGCTCACTCGTCTTGGTATGATCTAGGGTTCTTGGATGTAGAGGAGAGGAAGAGAGCGCAGGGTGAGTGATCGATCGATCCAATCCGAATGAGGCGCGCCGCCGCTGTGGATGTCGATCGCCGGCCCGGCAAGCGCGTGAGATTATGGGCGGAGCCGGCCGCCGCCGTGGAGCACATCGCCACGAATGTCCCTGTAGAATGTGGGGGATTCTACGATCCATCGAGGTACTGGCGGCAGCATCCAGCGATCTATGCTCCAGCGCCAGCGATTTACGCCGCTCCTCACTACTACCAGGCAAGTCTAGAGATTTTCCTTTTCCCCCTTCTCTCGGATTTGGGAATGAATTAAGAATGTGTTCTTCCAGACGATTGCGAGCACTTACACGGAGCCCCAGGATTTTCCGCGGAGGATTCATGCTGGTATGGTCACAGCGGCTGCTCTCCAGGTACCCAACCCCGTGACCGGCCATCTCAACGTAGTAGTTCCTCCTCAAGCTTGCCACGAAGATGACAAAGATGGCCATTTCGTTTTCGAGCTCGGGGAGAACATCACACCTCGCTGTAAAACTCCATCCCCATTTCTTCGAGCTGTTTCGTTCGCGAAGCTTAGCGATGTGAGTTGTTCTTATGGTTGGTGATCTTTTTTTTGCAGACAAAATCATAGGAAAGATGGGTGAAGGTATGATCCATACTTTGTTTTCTCTTGCGTGGATTTTTAGACGTCGTTCTTTATGCAGGGACCTTTGGGCGAGTCTTGGAGTGCTGGGATCGCGACACACAGGAGTATGTGGCTATCAAGCTCATAAGAAATGTGCAAAAGTATCGTGACGCCGCCATGATTGAGATTGATGTTCTCAACGAGCTTGCGAGATATGACCGGAATGGTTCAAGGTTCGTGACAGGCACACTTCCTCCTTCGCCTCCTGTGACTCGAGAAGTTCTGCAGACGTTGTGTCCAGTTAAAGCGCTGGTTCGATTTCCGGAACCACATTTGCATGGTAAGGCGTGATGACACTCGATACTGAAGGACAACTTCGGATGGTGTGTGATGCAGGTTTTCGAGAAGTTGGGACCAAGCCTTTATGACTTTCTCAGGAAGAATGAGTATCGTCCTTACGCAATCGATCTTGTTCGGGAGTTTGGTCGGCAGCTGCTCGAGTCCGTAGCATGTACGTATTTCATCTCACCCATGCTATGCTTGCATAAGGCTTGAGAAACTAGGGAGTACAGCTTGAGAGGTGGTCATACTAACTCAAAGACGTTCCTAGTCGTGATTCAGGAGCGTGAAGTTTACAGGATTGAAGAATGAGAGGTACCGCCACGAGAATATGTCATGGTATGGACATTACTTTGCTTCTTGTTCTTGTATAAATTTCACAGGTCTGGTGTTGTCAAAGCAACCTCGAAGGCTAAATCTTTTAGTTTTAAAGCTGGTACTAGACGAAGAATTCCTCTTTATTTGCATGGCATGGGATGCACATAGTGAAATATTTTGTGTGAATCTGATGTGTGTTGTTTTCTTGCAGACATGCACGATCTTACTCTTATCCACACGGATTTGAAGCCGGAAAACATTCTGCTCGTGTCTCCAGATCATGTCAAAGTCCCCGACTTCAAGGTGAGATTTTCACTTCTTTGTTTGTCGCTCTTGTAACCGAACCGAGAACCATTCAGGGCCTGTATCAACGATCAGGACCAGGACGGTGCTACGTGAGAGTTCCAAGGACGAGCGAGATCAAGCTCATCGACTTCGGAAGCGCAACATTTAACAGTCATTACCACTGCTCGGTAATATCGACGAGGCACTACAGAGCACCAGAAGTGATACTGGGTATGCGATTTGAAATGACATGTGTGATTTCGAGCATACTAAGGTTTGCATTTTCGTTCAGGCCTCGGCTGGTCTTACTCCTGTGATATATGGAGCATAGGCTGTATACTTGTTGAGCTGTGCTCGGTATATGCAGTTACCTTGGGATTCAAACAACACAATCATTCTCCTGCTGTAATTTCAGGGTAGTACGCTCTTCCAAACGCATGAGAATCTGGAACATCTGGCTATGATGGAACGTATAATTGGTCCACTCCCTGCTCACATGATCGAGAAAGCAGAGTAAGAAAATTCGTGTTCTTTCGAAAGCAAAGCAGTGACTAACTTTTGCATTCTTCCAGTCGACGAGCCGAGAAGTATTTCAAGAACAAAGTGGAACTCAACTGGCCAGAGGGTGCTGTCTCTCGAGAGAGCGTTCGCGCTGTGAGAAAACTTCCAAGGCTACGGGTAAGCTCCATTCTGGTTCTAGATTTGTGCGTATGTTCTTACGTAAAGCCATGGCTCCTCCAGAATATGATCCTCCAACACGTCGATCAGTACCCAAATGTGTTGCTGGATCTCCTCCAAGGATTGCTGAGATACGAGCCAACGGAGAGACTATCCGCGAAGCAAGCTCTATCTCATCCTTTCTTCTGGCACTAGAAAAAAGAAACGTAGCTTATTTGTCTCAAGGCACATTCTTATAGACCAAAGTGTAAAGTAATGCTGCTTTTAACGACTGGTGTAAAGTATGATTGGTGGTGATATTCGAACCCGCGACCGAATTTTCCCGCCAAGTTTTTTGAGATGTTGGGGCTCTAGGGTTTTTGGAAGCTCCGGGCGTGGCGCGCTGGATCGTTCTTTCATGCCGCAGCGGCCGCGTTGATTTGATCCCGAGAAGGTATGGATGGAGTGGAGCCGAAGCATGGCGCTGGCGGCGCGCCAAAGGGCCCCAGGCTCTTTATCAAGGAAATGGAGATGGATAATTTCAAGTCTTACGCTGGGAAGCAGCGTGTTGGCCCATTCCACAAGGTATTTTTCGTCCATTTCTCGATTTCCATGAGGATTGGAGTGCTTTGGTTTGCCTTTCCAGTGTTTCTCCGCTGTTGTCGGACCCAATGGCAGTGGTAAGAGCAATGTGATAGATGCCCTGTTATTCGTGTTTGGGAGGCGAGCCAAGCAGGTAGCTTTCTTTTCTTTTCTAACTTGTTTGTTGTCTACTTAAGAATTAATTGTGTGTTTCTCTCTTCTTCTCTAGATGCGATTAAACAAGGTCTCGGAGTTGATCCACAATTCCACGTACCATCTCAACCTGGATAAAGCGCAGGTCTCAGTGCACTTCCAGGAGATTGTAGACTTGGTATGAATTTGTTTTCTCGCGTAGTTATATCTATCCATCTTTTTTGGCGTTTATGTAGGACGATGAAACGTATGAGCCTGTTCCTGGGTCCGACTTTGTCATCACAAGAGCAGCGTTTCGGGACAACAGCTCGAAATACTACATCAACGACAATTTGAGCAGCTTCACGGAAGTAACCAAAAAACTCAGGGGGAAAGGGATTGATCTAGATAATAATCGGTTTCTCATTCTCCAGGTAGCTTTCACAGTTTTCTTTTTCTTGGCAAATTGTTTACTGTTCTTCTCTGTGTTTTGGTCAGGGTGAGGTTGAACAAATCTCATTGATGAAGCCCAAATCACAAGGGCAACATGATGAAGGATTTCTAGAGTACTTGGAAGACATAATTGGTTCCAATCAATACGTGGAAAAGATTGAACAGGCTAGCAATCAGTAAGTTGCTATATTTTTCTGGAAGCTAGAGCATTTACTTGTGTGATGCAGGCTTGAAGTTCTGAACGAGAAGAGAACTAGCGTTGTCCAACGTGTGAAGACCGCAGAGAAAGAAAAGGACGGTTTAGAAGTAAGAAAGATCGCAATCGTTCGCTTTTACCAAGTGCAAAATGCAGGATGCAAAAAATGAGGCTGTTACGTATATGTTGAAGCAAGTCGAGCTTTTGAAGTGGCAGGGAAAATCGTCTGAGCTTGCTTTGAAAGATGCAAGCGCTCATGCAACGAAAGCTCAGAAGGATCTTGAATCTCACGAGGCTAAATTAAAGGAAGAGAGGTATTTTTACCGGAACTTCGTTTTTTATCTTCCAGCTATTGAGTCCTTTACAGGGAGAAGGTTGCTCAGTACTCTCAAGACTTGAAAGAACTTGAAAAGAACTACACTAAGCATGCAAAGCGCAGAGAGGTTTGACAGCATTCTGTTATGTCGAAAACCTTTTAATCTTAAGTTGCTTTGTAGGAGCTTGAGGCGGACTTGAAAGGTTGTGCCGACGAATTCAAGGAGTTCGAGCGCCAAGACTTGAAGTATCAAGAGGACCTTAAGCATATGAAGCAAAAGCTAAAGAAGCTGGAGGACAAAACTGCTAAAGTAAACATCAGTTCATTCATATCGTGGTCTTACAGTTATTGGCCTGCAGGATGAACTTCGGATTCAGGAGCTTGAAAAAGAAATCGAAGAAAGTAAAATTGTCATTCCACAGTTGGAAGAACAAATATTAGCACTTACTAAACAGCTTGGTCAAGAAGAAGAGAAACTTGAGCATCTAAAGGATCTTTCTAAAGGTAAATTTTTTTTGTTCTGACACGTTTATTTACTTCCTTTCTCGTAGATGAAATTGAGAGGTATCGGGAAAGCTTGTCATCCGTACATTCTAAGTTAGAACCATGGGATAAGCAAATTATTGACTGCCAGGGGAAGATTGATGTTGCACGATCAGAAAGCAAACTGCTGAAAGACAAGGTCTGTAAGCATCTGTTTACCAGCAGTCTCTTCATTTCACTGTTACAGCACGAGGGAGCCATCAACGCTTATGAGACTGCTAAGAAACAACTGCAAATAATCAATGAAAATCTGCAAAACAAAGAGGAATCTCTTCCGAGGCAAACTGAAGCTTTCAAACAACAGGAACGTCTTGCTGAGAGTGCTCGGACGGACGAGAAGGTGAGGGAATTCTAATACGATCGTTGGCTAATATTCTCTGTAGGCCCTGCTGAAAGAGGAGGAAGTTTTGACAGCCGAAGAGGAATCCGCTAAGAAGAGGCTGAATGAAATGCGTGTTACGTTAGAGTCAGAAAAGAGCCAAGGTGCAGTCCTTCGTGCAGTTCTTCAGGCAAAAGAGTCTGGACAAATTCAAGGCATTTATGGCCGACTTGGAGACCTTGGGGCGATTGATGGTGCGTTATCTTCTCCTTTTCTCCTGAAACTTCTGAAAACGAATTTCTCATTTTTATGTTTCTCATACTTCTTGCCTGCAGCAAAGTACGACGTAGCGATATCAACAGCTTGCGGTGGGTTGGACTACATAGTTGTTGAGACTGCTTCGGATGCACAAGCGTGTGTTGAGCTATTGCGTAAAAATAATCTGGGTGTAGCAACGTTCTTAATTCTGGTATTTGCCTTTCGGGTTATTTACATTTTCACAAAATTAAATATTTCCAGGACAAACAAGAAGGGCTTCGGTCAAAGATGAACCAAGAAGTTCGAACTCCGCAAGGGGTTCCCAGATTATTTGATTTGGTTAACGTTCGAGATGGCCGGTTGAAGCTGGCGTTCTACGCCTCTCTTGGAAACACAGTTGTAGCTACAGATCTAAACCAGGTAAGAAACTCGTGACTTTCCACTTTTTTTATTTCATTTTTATCACCAGGCTACAAGAATTGCGTATGGGAGCAATACAGAATTTCGGAGAGTGGTTACATTGGATGGGGCACTATTTGAGAAATCTGGAACAATGAGTGGAGGTGGTGGCAAACCCCGAGGCGGGCGGATGGGTACTGCCATACGTGACTCCAGTGTTACTCGTCAGGCTTTGGAAAGTGCCGAAAATGAAGTTTCTACACTGGCCGAGCAGCTTGCAAAAGTTCGTGAACGACGTGTCCAAGCGGCTCGACAATATCAACAATCAGAAAAGGCTATTTCAAACATCCAGGTGGACATTTCCAAAGCTCAAATGGAGGTTCGCAGTCCATAGTTCTCCGCAATATTTCCAAGCTAATTAGCTCTTTTCAGGTTGACGGATTGAAGAAGCAAAAGATGGACGCAAATCAACAAATTGAAACTTTGAAGGTTGAAGCTGTGCCTAATTCTGTTGAAGTTAAAAAGATCGAAAAGCTGGACAAGCTGGCCGTGGTCGAGGAGAAAACGCTCTCTTACTTACAAGAAAACTCGAAAGGGCTTAGAGAGAAGGTTATTTCCAGTAGTGTTACAACCATCGACTTACAGTCTTGTCTTTTCTACAGGCAAACAGTCTTCAAAAAAGTATTGAAAACGCTGGGGGTGAGAAACTGAAGCAACAAAAACTACTTGTCAGCAAGATACAAACGGTACGTGCTTCATGTTTTCCTTGACTAACGATTTGGATGCAGGATATAGACAGTAAAAACACTGAGGTCAATCGTCGAAAAGTTCAGATGGACACCGGAGGCAAAACAATAGCTAAACTGCAGAAGACGCTTGAAGACTCGAGGAAAGACAAACAAAACATCTCTGAAAACAAGGAGAAGAAGGCTTCTGCATTCAAGGAGATCGAAAAGAAAGCATTCGTCGTCCAAGAGAGATACAAAGACATTCAAGAGGTTAGCAATTCATTGGATTTTAATAAGCCTTGACGACGATGACTACAGATTATGGAAAAGCAACGAGAGGAGCTGGAGTCAACGAAAAAACTGTACAATGAAAAGAAGCAAATGGTTGATCAGCTTCGAACTGGAGAGGTTTGGTGAATTTTGTCAGGTTGCCTTAATCCTCACATTCCTGTTTCAGATTGACGCACAGGACAAAGTGGAAGACTTAAAAGGTTTGGTCAAAGAAATGGATCAGAAAATGAAAGGTTTTCAGAAAAAGATCGAAACGAGCAACAAGGCTTTAAATGAGCATGTTGAACAGTAAGTATTACGCATTTCTGTTGTCTCATGCGAATATATCTTCCAGGATACGAAAAGAAGGAATAGATTTGGACTCCCTAAACGCCGCTCTTGAAGGGAACCAAATTGATTCAGTTTCCAGTTTACAAACAGCCCTGAAAAATGTAGAACTTTTGGAGCAGCAGATGAAGGCAATGCAGCCGAATCTCGACACCATTGGAGAGTAAGCATTGAATTTTTAATGTTTCTTTCTTAATACCTGTCTTTTTGTAAAGGTACCGGACAAAAGCTGCTCACTACATGGAGCGTGTTAATGAGCTCAATGCAGTGACACAAGAGTGCGACGACTTAAAGAAACATCATGACGATCTGCGTAAGCGACGGTAAGTTCACTGACTTAGATTGCTGTTATTCAGCAGCTGTGCTACAGACTAGATGATTTCATGGCGGGTTTCAACATAATTTCCTTAAGATTGAAGGAGATGTATCAGGTGTGTTTCATAACAACTCTGCTAGTGGTTTCTGATTTTTTATTCTTTTTTTCAGATGATAACTTTGGGAGGCGATGCCGAACTGGAACTAGTGGATTCTCTCGATCCATTCTCCGAGGGCGTAGTCTTCAGTGTACGACCACCTAAAAAGAGCTGGAAGAATATCGGAAACCTCTCAGGAGGTGAAAAGGTGATGCCATTTTCATTCCTCAACTTGCAGAAACTTATCGCCATAAGTCTTGTATTGTAGACACTAAGCTCGCTGGCGCTCGTGTTTGCCTTGCATCACTACAAACCGACTCCTCTGTACGTTATGGACGAGATCGACGCCGCCTTAGGTAACTTCTTGCGAGTCTCGCAATCTGCTCAAGCTTATTTTCTGCCCGCAGATTTTAAAAACGTCTCGATTGTGGGTCACTACGTGAAGGACCGCACCAAAGACGCGCAGTTCATAATAATCAGGTAAAACGCAAGTTGCGAATCGGCGATTTCATGAGCTATTTCGATTTCAGCCTTCGCAACAACATGTTTGAGCTGGCGGATCGACTCGTGGGAATTTACAAGACTGATAACTGCACGAAGAGTGTGACTATCAATCCGAAAAGCTTTGCTACGTGCCAGCAAGAGGCAGCGTGATTTCTAGATCTGTATGTATGTAAGTTTGGAGATTTGTTTTGCTTCGTTGTTCTCACTTTTGTTTTCTCAGATTAAACGCCCCTGGCACACAAAAAAAAACATTACAACTGTGAAATCTCGTCTCACACACCACTGAAAACTTGTTTGATGAAATAGTGGCCTCATTTCTTTCTTTTAGTTTCTCCATAGAATTTGTCGGCATTTCCTTTTTCCCGGATGGACAAAGCCACTATTTTCTTTTCAATCAGAAGAAGAATGTCCTGAGAATCATTTCGTTTTTTCAGAGCCACACAGGACACCCAGCGTACGAACCGTTCTTTTTCTCTTCTCTGTTTTTTTTTCGTCTTCTCCATTCTTTTGATTTGGACTTTGATCCCGTTCGCTTAAATTTCGTCTCTGCGTGGTTTATTCTCACGTCTAAACGCGCTGCCGCTCATTCGCTTGCGACATCTTCGCCGGGCCTGTTTGACTTCGTTTCTTCGTATGCGCCGAGTGTCACTTTTTCTCATTTGTCAGCTCAAACTCCTCGCAAAGTCGGCTTGCATCATTATTACATTTGCATCCTCCTCTTGTCTTTCTGGAGCTAGTGCTTGTGTGGCCTCCACAAGAAGCGCCAAGCCTTTGGATTTTTCACTGTGGGCCTCGTGCATCACATTGACACGCTTCCTCCAATTTGGTGTTGCCAGCGATCTCACGAGAACAGGCTCTTATCGTTCTTTATCACTAGTTTTACCATAGTGGTTTTTCGCTATTCTTTGTGTTCGCCAGCTCCGTCACCTTTGTAGTAAACTAGACTGATCTCCCGTATCGCCCGTGGTAGAAGCGCCCAATCGCAGGTTGAGATTGACACCCCGAGGTAGAAAATTATTTTGGAGCTTGGAGATATGTAAGCAGTGCCAACATCTGGAGATTTCCAAAGTGTGGAGGCCAGTGAAAATTCCTTTGCAGTGTTGCTTTGGCACAGCTGGAATTATTACGCCACCTCTTTTAGTGCTTCTTTTTTTCGGTGGTCTCCGCACAGGAAGAACACATAAAAGAGGGAATGGATCGGATTGGAGGCGGCGGCCATAATTCATTTTTGCCAGATGCGGAGTCCCAAGTGTAAAGAAGGTGGCACAAGGAAACTAATCAATCATATATCGTTACTGTGTGATCAATCAAACTAAATTCTTATCTCCTCTGAGCCAGCTCATTTTATTTCTTGTGCGCTTTATAGATCCACATACGGATCCTCAAAGCAATTTCTTCGTACTAATATAATTAGTGATAAATCACGCTGTCAAAAGGTGAGCACTACAACAGCAAATCATAGAGTATGACTATGTTGAAATAGCTCTATTCCATACATATGTTCGTATGGGTGACGGCACCTTCCAATCAAAACCATAGAAAAATCCCACTCGATAAGTTCATAGTAAAAATGCGTCCTGGGTGGGATTACAATGTTGGCTGAGTACGAAACCGAGGGAATCTCCCACAAAACTAGTCTAGCTGAATCCCACGGAACATACCCCCGTGTCTAGAATTGTTCCGAAATGTTTACATTTGCGCTTGCGAGCTGCGATTCTTCCAATCCCCCCTGGAAGAAAGCGTCCATTGATTGCTTGGTAGTAGCGGCAGCAGCGCTCGAGTTTGATTCATTCCCATTGTTTAGTGGTTTTTCTCTTTCAGGGAACACCATCACGACGTCTATCACCATGTTTAAGAGAACTTCTTCCCCCGAAAAACAAATCAGAAAACCTATCAGACGAACAAACAAATACCATATCAATATCTTCAGAGTTTTGTTTTTTTCTCTGTTTTTCTAACCTTTGTCTGTCTCTACATTTTGCGGAAAGCACACACAGAGCACATGGACCTGGAAATATCAAATAGAAACCATAAAGTCTAAAGAAGGAATCAGTGATTGGACAAGCAAAGCAATTACTTTGCCTCTTTGTTTTCATCGCCAACCAGTTTGCTTCCTGTCGCTAATCAAAACGTTGTCAAAGTCGTGGGGCTCTGATAACGAGTGTTGCGTCTTTTCCTACAAAACCGCGCTCCTTTGTTTCCTTTTCTCATCACACACTTAGAGCGCCCTTGTGCGAGTATAGCCGATCGTTCTCCACCTCTTCTTTTATGACAGGCAGCTCGCGCTTACACGCTCGTCCGATTCCAATTCAGCTGGACAAAACATGAGCTCGTCATCCCGGTAAGACTCTCCAAAAAGCTGGGAAGGAAGGGAAACGAAATCTACCTGGAGCGTTTCTCATTTCTTTTCTCTGTTACCCCCTTTGCTCGCCGATCAAGTGAGAGTCCACAAAGTTTCCTCCTTTCCTCTTGGCCTTTTGGCTGTTCGAGTTTTTCGCTGCTGCCTGCAAAAGAAAAAAAATATCGAATGGATTCTATCAGGAGCTTGCGCGAGCAATGGAACTCGAGCATAGATCGCCTCAATGCGGCAGTCGCTCGGAGCAGAGTCGGGCGGTACTTCAAGCTCGAGGAGCGAAAGTCTTGCTTCACTCGGGAGGTGAGAGCCGGCACCGCAACATTCCTCACCATGGCATACATCCTCGCGGTGAACGCCAGTATACTCGCCGATTCGGGCGGTCCCTGCGGCATCTCCGACTGCTCGCTCGTCTGCTCCGACTCCACCACCCCGATACAGCGCTGCTCGGGCCTCACTCCCGGCGGTATACCGCTCACTCTTGTGAAGCCAGGTGCCGAGTGCAAGGATCCAGGGGCCCAGAACAAAGGATACTCCGACTGCCTGGACCGCACCAAGCGTGATCTCATCGTCGCCACCGCAGCATCCTCGCTCATCGGCAGTGTCATCATGGGCGTGTTTGCAAATCTCCCGCTCGGGCTGGCGCCTGGGATGGGAGCAAACGCCTACTTTGCGTACACCGTCGTTGGCTTCCACGGCTCCGGAAGCATCACTTACGGTGGAGCGCTGGCGGCTGTGTTCGTCGAGGGACTGATCTTTCTCGGCCTGGCAGCGCTCGGCCTCCGGACCCGGCTGGCCAAGGCCATCCCCCGCCCCGTCCGCATCTCCAGCTCGGCAGGTATCGGTCTCTTCCTCGCCTTCATCGGCTTGCAGTCGAGCGAAGGCATCGGGCTCATCGGCTTCAGCCCATCAACTCTGGTAACACTGGGTGCATGCCCGGCAGCGGACCGAGTGGCGGTAGCACCGGTTGTCACCAACGCCACCACCGGTGTCTCCCGTCTCATGCCCGGCGCTACCATCTCCTCCAACATCCTGTGCACGCGTAACCGGATGGAAGATCCCACTCTCTGGCTTGGCGTCGTCGGCTTCGTCATCATCGCGTATGCTCTCGTCAGGGGTGTCAAAGGTGCCATGATCTACGGCATTGTCTTCGTCACCGGCATCTCCTGGTTCCGGGGAACGCAGGTGACATACTTCCCATATACCGACGCTGGTAACGCGGCCTACTCGTACTTCCGCGAGGTGGTCGACGTCCACACCATCAAAGGCACCGCCGGAGCTCTCTCCTTTGCTGAAATCGGCCAGAGCCAGTTCTGGGTGGCGCTCATCACCTTTCTCTACGTCGACATACTGGATACCACCGGAACTCTCTACTCCATGGCCAAGTTTGCCGGCTACGTCGACGAGAAGGGCGATTTCGAGGGGCAATACCAGGCTTTCATGAGCGATGCCGCGGCCATCGTGGTCGGCTCGGCACTTGGAACTTCTCCTGTCACTGCTTTCATCGAGTCGTCCACGGGGATTCGAGAAGGTGGCAGAACCGGGATTACTGCTCTTACCGTGGCGATGTACTTCTTCCTGGCACTGTTTTTTACACCGCTACTGGCTTCTATTCCACCCTGGGCGGTCGGACCGGCGCTCGTTCTCGTCGGAGTTTTGATGATAAAGTCGGTCAAGGAGATTGAGTGGGAGGACATGAGAGAAGGCATCCCGGCTTTCATCACCATTATCCTCATGCCTCTTACGTACTCCATTGCTTATGGCTTGATCGGCGGCATTGGTACGTTCGTGGTGCTGAATGGACTCGACTGGCTCTTTTCCAAAACCAAAAGGCCACCGTCGTCAAGCGATACAGATGAAGCGATGAAGCAAGTTGACACAGTGGAAACTGGCAGAGCTCTAGAACAAGTCTGAATGCCATCGATACAATTGACACCCCACATGTTTAAAAAAAATTAAAATGAATTACATGTCAGAGTATATATCACCATGCAAGTTGTGGAAGATCTGAAATCACGCAACGAACCCAAAAAAGAAAGTTTGACCACGACCTTCATTCTAGCAACAATGTTGATAGCCGGAACAATGATCCAACAAAGCAAACCTCTGCCAAAATGAAAGAAATCTAAACTTAACCATACCAAAATTCCAGGAATATCAAATCTAATTTGACGACGAAGGAAAGACCTCTCTATGAATGTACCAAAGACGTCGTCGACCCTCACAATAAAAATCTTACTTGTAGCGGCAGAGGTAATCGATTGAAATATTCCTAGCATTGTCATCGCCACAGAAAGTTTAAACCATAATAACACCAGGTGTTGTTACATCCTCTTTTACATACATCACACCACGCTTCTATTAAATAATTTCTGTGCTCTAAAGGAAGATAAGAGCCCCGAGCCAAAGTCTGGATCTCTGTTATTTTGGCATACTGGTTAATAACATAGAATAAAATGACTCATGACCCTTGTACATATTTGCATTTTTAATTACAAAGCCGCCTTTAAAAACATGAGCCCGTCATCCTTCCAAAAGTAGCGTTTTCTCTTTCTTGTTCACAAAGTCCTCCTTTCTTCTTCCCTTTCGAGCTTCGGCTGCTCCAGTTTTCTGCTGCTGCCTGCCAAAGGAAAAAAAAAATAAATCGAATGGGAGACTGAGTGAGCAATGGAATAGATCACCTCAATACGGCAGTCGCTGGGAGCAGAGTCGGGAGGTACTTCAAGCTCGAGGAGCGAAACTCGTGCTTCACTTGGGAGGTGAGAGCCGGGACTGCGACATTCCTCACCATGGCATACATCATCGCAGTGAACGCCAGCATACTCGCCGACTCTGGCGGTCCCTACTGCTCGCTGGTCTGCTCCAACGCCACCACCCCCGTACAGCGCTGCTCACATCTCTCCCAGCGGTACACCGCTCACTCTGGTGCCGATTGCAAGGATCCAGGGGCAAAGGATACTTCGACTGCCTGGACCAGACGAAGCGTGATCTCATCGTCGCCACGGCAGCTTCGGAAGTGTCATCATGGGAGTGTTCACAAATCTCCCGCTCTGGCTGGCGGGGATAGTCGGAGATGCAGCTAGATTATGCTGGCGTTTACTGCGAGGATGTATGCCATGGTGAGGAATGTCGCGGTGCTGGCTCTCACCTCCAGAATGAAGCAAGAGTTTCGCTCCTCCAGCTTGAAGTACCTCCAACTCTGCTCAGAGCGACTGCCGCATTGAAGTGATCTATGCTTGTGTTCCATTGCTCGCTCAGTCTCCTGATCGATTTTTTTTTTTTCCTTTGGCAGGCAGCAGCGAAAAACTGGAGCAGTCAAAAAGCTCGAGAGGGAAGAGAAAAGGAGGACTTCGTGGACTCTCACTGATCGGCAAGGAACAGAAAAGAGATGCTCATGCTTTTAAAGGTGAGAAAACAAAGGCTAGAAATCCAACTTTGTGTAGGGGAGCAAACTCGGCTGGCGTGGTAGAGGTTTGTTTCTTGTTGGATCATTGTTTAAAACTTTGATCCAGCTATCGACATCGTTGCTCCTGCCCATACACACAAGGAACGCCGGTACGACAGAAATGTAAAGGTCGTGAAGGATAACTCCTCCGTTGCGTGATTTCAGCTCTTCCACAACTTTCGTGGTGATATATACTCGACATGTAATTACAACGAAAAATGGTGATAAAAGTGGTGGATTTTCATTTCCTTCTAATTTGTGGGGTACACGGCTTTTTGGAACATTGATTATATTGGATTTAAACCCAAGCTTTGATTCCAATATAGCTCTTGTGAGATTGGACGACTCAATGGCCTCCTTAACGTTCTGGAGCCAGCCGCTCAAGGAAACCTCGAAGCCGTGTAACACTCTCACAAAGGTACACTATATTTGGTCACAGGGCTTAGAGCAACCTGCTACGCCAGATAGAGAATTCGAGTTGCTGACAGCAATATAGTTCTATTTCCACACCGCTTCCTTGGAAATAGAGCGAGCTCCTCAGCAATCAGCTGCTCCTGTTCCTGCGTGTACGACATGCATACGAGATCCACAAGAGCAGCAGCAAATCTGGAAAGCTTACAAGGTTAGACAGCTGCTAAGGTTGTCAGGAGCTCAAACTTACCACGTTCCAAATTACAGGTCTTGAGACGAACTGGCCTCCCATTTGAGCAGTGATGGAAGCATCCTGCAATGATAAAGTTCATGTGTTCGTGAGTTAGAACTGCAAGAGATGTTACCTCGTTCTCTTTCACTCCTGCCAGCGGCTCGCTAAATTTCATGAGAAAACCTTTGAGAAAGGAGCCTGGCACTGGAAGATACATTCCACTTTGAACGCAAGAACATTTCCTGGGAAAATGGAATCGCACAAAGTATGATCACGACCTGGAAAATTCTTGGCCGTAACCGATGCCGTACTCGTCCCTGGAAAAATGAGAGATGAGACATGACGTATAAACAAGAATAGATATAAATGAACGAACCAGGCTCTGGAATTGTCCTTCAGAGGCTCTGGAAATGCTTGATTAGAAGCAGAGCTTGCCTCCTGCAAGAAAAATCTGGAGAAAAAAGAATTGCGCAAAGTACCTTGTATACGCACAAATTCCTGTCTAATATCGCTGAGGCAAGAAAAGAATGTTACGCATCATAAGCGTCTGCTCCCATGCTCTCCGGTGCAAGGATCCAGGGGCTTACAACAAAGGATACTCCGACTGCCTGGACCAGACGAAGCGTGATCTCGCCGTCGCCACGGCAGCATCCTCGTTCATCGGCAGTGTCATCATGGGCGTGTTTGCAAATCTCCCGCTCGGGCTGGCGCCTGGGATGGGAGCAAACGCCTACTTTGCGTACACCTTCCACGGCTCCGGAAGTCTCTCTTACGGTGGGGCTCTAGCTCCAGCGCGGCTGGTATCGGTCTCTTCCTCGCCTTCATAGGCTTGCGGTCGAGCGAAGGCATCGGGCTCATCGGCTTCACTCCGTCATCTCTGGTGGCGCTGGGTGCATGCCCAGCAGCGGACCGAGTAGCGGTAGCACCGGTTGTCAAACCAGATGGAAGATCCCGGCGTCGTGTCATCGTCGCGTATGCTCTCGTCAGGGGTGTCCAAGGTGCCATGATCTACGGCAGTCTTCGTCACCGGCATCTTCCAGAGAACTACGGTGACGTACTACGCGTACTTCTGCAAGATGGTCGACGTCCACACCATCAAACGGAGCTCTCTCCTTTGCTGAAATCGGCAAGAGCCAGTTCTGGGTGGCGCTCATCACCTTCCTCTACGTCAACATACTGGATACCATTGGAACTCTCTACTCCATGGCCAAGTTTGCCGGCAATTCCTTCGTTGTAATTTATATCACCACGCAAGTTGTGGAAGTTCTGGAATCCCATTGATCACGACCTAGCCACCTTAAACTGGAGATGTCCATTCTCTTGGCATTTCGGTTACATTTCTCTCGTAGCGTCATACTCGCAAAGGAACAATGATGTCAATAGCTGGATCAACAGTGATCACATGAATCTCTGCCAAAACATCAGAAATTTCAGGAATATCAACCAAGGAACAAAGCGCTGGCCGAAATAAAGAAAAAGCAATCGTGCTCCTCGAGAAAATATTACGCATAGCTGAAAACCAAGAATCAAGCGCAAGAAGAATCTTACTTGTAGAGGAGGCGATCGACCGATGAGAAAATGCAAATATCGCCGAAGTTCGTTTGAAAGCCTAAAACCCCAGGGGTGTTGTGATACATCCTCTTTTTATTCATTTATATACACTGAGACTGTGTGAAAGAGATGCTATTGTACATACATCACACCACGCTTCTATGTGCGCTGTTAAGTATCTCTGCTCTAAAGGAAGATGGGAAAAAAGGAGAAGAAAAACAACTCCCCTCACCTCTCACTCCAGCATGAAATTTTCAAGGCTTTGGCAGATCCTTTCCACTCTGCTGCAACAGCATATCATAGTTGATGGATACTAACTGCGAGAGATTCTGTGGAAGCCAACAAGAAAAATCCCAATGAGACAAGTGAGAGAGCCAAGAACTTTCATCACCTTGAAAGAAAAATTGCTGAAGGAGTATTGGTTTGATGGTGGGGAGTCGAATTCCGCAAGATCATTGCACTCGTCTCTCTGAATCAAAAGTTTAGACAACAAAAACAGAAAGAAGGAAGCACGGCTTACCCCTTCCTCGTGTTTACTGCTCACTGAGCTGCTACTACCATCACAACTACTTTCGTAATCGCTAGACTCCGGGAACTCTTGCTCTGCATAGACCCGACCATCCGTGGAAGACCACTTGTGCCGAGATGTAAAATAGCTCGTATCGTGGGCTCCTTCGGGGCTGGGAATGAAAACAGCCTGAAGAAAATTCTACCATTAGCTTAACAAACATTCGGAAAAGGCATGAAGATTGACCTGCTGAGAGCCAACACTATCCCATTCCACTTCCTTGAAGAATGGGTGAGCTTTCACCTGCAAAAATGAAACCATCATAAGAAAACCTTCAAGTAAAGAGAAAAACATCTGCAGACCTCCGCCGCACCCTTGGCACCAAGACGATGATTGGGATCTTCTGCGAGAAGCCTATACGAGAGAATTGTGATTAAAGAAAAACTAGTAATGGATTCTTACTTGTCTATGAAGTCTGCAGCTTCAAATGACATGTCTCCGGGGATATTTGGCCATGGTATGTTTCTGTTCAATATGTTTTCAAAGATCATCTGCAACACGAGGCCCTGTTAGAGAAGGCAGAATTTCTTCCGACATCGAACCTGAGGGTCTTCCGCATTGAATGGGGGAATCCCAGTCAGAAACTCGAAGAGAATGACACCAACGGACCACCAATCAGCCGGATAGCCTGCGATAAAAACCACAAAAAGGTTAAGCTCCAATTAAAAAATTGTTCAAACCGTGTGCTGTCCCAAGGAGAATTTCAGGGGCCAAATAGTCGGGTGTTCCAACAGTCTTTTGTTGCCGGCCCTTCTTCGTGGATGAATCCGAGCTGTCATGCTTTTCAGCCGCGACAGTAGCTCCTCTAGAAGCGGGCGCAGAGAGATCGTCCGTGCTGTTTATGAGACCAACTTTTGAAAGCCCGAAGTCTGTGAGCTGCAAGGAAACTTGACGTGAGCATTTACAAAAGAGACAGGAAACGACTCTACTCTTATGTGTCCATCATGGGCTATCAGTATGTTGTCCGGTTTCAAATCCCGGTGAATAACGGCTAGCGAGTGGAGATATTCCAGTGCAAGGACCTGAAAAACCAGTAAACTTAGATACATAAACAGTGTAAATACTTTACCAGTTCTGCGATGTAGTATCGTGCCATGTCTTCATCCAGACACCCAAGGTTTCTTAGCATTGAGTACATGTCACCTCCATTCAAGTACTCCATGACCAAATAGAGATTCTCCTTACAAGTGAAAGAATAGAAGAAACGCACCTGCAAACAAATGTATCAGTTCCATTTTGAACAGAATTTCACATATCGTACCAAAAAAGGATTTTTCGCATGAATGAGAATGTTCCGTTCTGCATGGACGCTTTCGACGGCATTCTTACGAATCATATCTGCTTTTCGAAGAACCTATCACAAACTTACGGAAGTGAGTACCATCTACTTTCACGAGACAGGACAAATACCTTTATTGCAAAGAGGTCTCCAGTCGTTCTTTTCCTTGCCAGGAACACTCTGCCAAAAGCACCTCTACTGATTGGCTTTATTATCTCAAAGTCGTCGATACTAGTCCGATCGTTGAAAGAAGGGTGATGAGGAGTGCATTGAAGGCTCGCAACCCCGTCATCATCGTCATCTTCAGTAGTGCCGGTGCTGTCATGTTCTACACCTTCGGACACAAGAAGATACTTCTCCCTGCATACATAAACACAAATCGTTCCTTGTCTGGTGCGCACTTGCCAACTTCAAGGCTTACCTCAAGAGCTTTTCAATCCTTTTGCCAAATGTATGTACTGTCAAACCTTCAACTCTGCAGAGCTGCAAAAGATTCTGAAGGTCTTGCAAGCAAGTTCCCAAAAAGTCATAGGCGTCTTCTTTGGACACATCTGTGCTTGCTGCACAGCGAGCTATATCAGCAAGCTCGTTAATCTGCAGCAACGACACGTTAAGTCACTGTATAACTGGAAGTCTTAAACGTACCTGAACAATATCTTCAGATTCGCCGACACTCGCCCGCTCAGCCAGCAACAGATCTATCTGACTTGCCCTTGGAGTCGTAATTGGAGAGCAAGGCGTCCTACTTCCGGTTGAAGACGCACTAAGTCCCTGGTCGGACTTTGGTCCAAACCGTGACTTCCCGTTTAGCACTCCAAATCCTCTAAGGTCCTCCAAAGTTGCTGCATCCATCTCGTGAAGTTCATCTAGCATGTCCTCTGATCCTCGACGATTTAGCTCACTTAACTTCGGAGAAGCGCCTTCCGATCCCTCGCCCTTTCTAAGATTCAGTACCGGGCTCAAACCGACGCCAGTCTGAGAGCTCTTGGGTGTGTAAGACTCTACGATCTTCTCCAACATCTCCGCAAGTTTGTAAAGCTTCTCGTCGATGCTTCTACCTTTGAAGCATCTGTCGGCAACCGCGCAGACCCTTGAGTGATCACCAACTTGCGAGGCTGGAACTGTTTCCTCGCATATCCGGCAAACAAGTTTCAACTCATCACCCGCAGCTTTCTTCCTTTGTTCGCAAACTTTTGGATGTTCCACGGGCTTCAACCTTGACGTTGACAGACCTTCGTCAGCTTTGAGTTTGGTTTCCTGTCCAGGTAACTTAGGCGAGGTTTGTCCGAACTTTTTCCAGCCTGCAAGTCGTTCAGTGACTATACTCCCCAGACCATTGAAGTTTGAAGCTGGTCGCGTCAAGTGACTAAGAGCACTTTTGTCTTTCCACCTGTGCGCATTTAGCTCTTGACTGTAGAAAATCTTCTGCTCCTTGATCGGCTTGAGCACGGCTTTATCCTTTTTCCCTGTAGTCCATGGTGTCTGAATCTTGGAGGGAGGAGTATGCTTATTCATCTCCTCGTCCAAGCCTGTCAGCTGTACCAGTCTTGTACAACGTGTGAGAATGAAGAGCATTCGTGTGTGTAGCTGTTTCAGTAATCCCATCGGAAGCTCTTGCCGCCTGTCATCCAAGTCTTGAACGATACTTTCACAATGTTCTCTGAAGTCCGCTGAAGACATCATCGCGCATTGCTGAGCGAAGACAAGGAGGTCTTCAATCTTCCTTTTCCAGTCCGGTGATAGATCCTCCTTCTTCTCGAGAATTTCAATCAAGTCACCAGCGAAGCCCTCGAGCTCTGTGTTGATCTCTTCTTTCACAGTGTTGAATTTTGATCTTAATGCTTCAATAATGTCCTTCTGTAATGAGAACAAAAGGTATGCGTAACACTTAAAAGAGAAAAAGAGTTACCTCTCCATCGCTAAATATGTGCGGGCGCCAGAATACGTTGGACCGAACACCCTTGGGATCGAGTTCGTGAGAAAAGCTCTTTATGTCGCGCTTGCCCTTCTTCGTGCTTGTAACACGCAGCAAGGCTTGAAACCTTGGGGAGTTTGTTTCCTTGACACTTTCTGACGGACTTAAATTCTGATAGAGAAAACGCAGATCGATTACAACATTGCGATTTAAAACGATACTTACCTCGTTTTCTGGAACATTTCTACTGGAGCCCGAAGCTAAAGAAACGTGCCACGGAGACTTGCCACCTGCAAGAAAAGCTTAAATGCATGCTCCATCTTTGTCCGACTTACCTTGCTTCGAAGGTGGAGTGTTTTCCGAACGTCCCCCAGCTGAAGACGAGCACTCAAAGTTGCTCCAGCTGCGAGGAGAGAGATCGTCAACCACGCTTGAAGAGGATTCCTTCCGAGAGCTCCGCGTCGAAACTTCATGAATGCTGGAACTCGGCACCTTGTGTCCAAGCTTGGGAGAATCCCGAGGCACTGTTGTCAAAAGCCCAGAGCTGGAGACGTTCTTCTGTTTCTTCGATCCCTTCCCGGCTGCAGCTTGCTTAGCAAACGACTTTTCCTGTACAAATCTTTCATCAAAACCAGCCATATTCCAGTTCCTTTCACTGTTATGGTTATCACTTAGAGGACCCGAGCGTGTTTTGATCCGGTTTAGTCCCAAGGAGCTCGCTCCCAAATTATCAAAGTCAGAAAAAAGTGAGCCTTGCTTGGTTGAGTACTCACTGAGACCACCCGAATGCGCCTTTTTCTCCCTGTTGATCCTCCCAAAAACCGTATCATCCTCTGTGATCCCACTACCATCCTTTTCTTCTTCATTCCTCAAAGAACTTCTACTCTGCTCCGGCAAATCGCTGAGCTCCTTCGTCCGAGGAACTTCGTCATCCGGAACGACCTTATTCTTTCCTCCACTTCCACTTCCATTCTTCTTTTCCTTCTTGGTAATGGAAGTCCTCCCGACTGGTCCCATCTTCCTCCTCCACTGTTTTCTCTATTCCGAGCTATTTACAGCGACCAGAGATCTACCAAGAACCCTAAATCCAGGCGAATTGGAGACAGGAATTGCGGACATTTCACTTATCCCTGAGCCTGTGCCCCGCCAGAAGCCCACACGCGGCTGATGCATCGCATAGCAACCGCCGCGAGAGCTTCCAATGCGGCATTTCCGCAGCTATCCTGGCTAGATCTTTACCCTGTTACTACATACCGATGCGATCACCTCGCGCCTCGCCCCGCCACTAGGGCGCTTCCATCCAAACCCTATCACCCAGGAAAATTCGATGTGAAAAGAGAATATGCCACTGATAATGTTGTAAAAGGACTAAGTGAATATATTTAAAATATACATGAATATTCTAAAATATTTTAATATCCAACATTATCATTTAGATTTATTTGGTAATTATATTTTATAAATATATTTATAATTTTTAGAATTTTCTAAATACTTCCTAGTATATTCTTGTTTATTCTACCATGATATGAACCTTCTAACTCACTTCAAAAGTATTAAACCCTTTATCTTTATTTAAAAGTATTTACCTCTGGGGTAAAAGATATGAACTTGAATAAAAAGGCTATAATGATAAAAATGAAACTTAACCATGCTTTAGAGCTAATATATGTTTATAATAACAATCACAATTTAATGATATTGAGAATGATAATTTCTAATATTAGCAAATCTTGAAAGAAAATATTGGAAGGAAATATTTTAAAATTATTTTGAAAATTCATGATGTGAGTGTATGGAATATGGAAAAGGAATACAAAAAATATGCATATCAATTAGCCCAAAAACTCTAATCTATATACAGGAGTGAGTGGTCTAAATTAAAACCAATCCAACGACTACTAAAATCTTATTATGCTAATATTAGTATACAATATTGTAGCCATACTCTTACTCTTCTCGGAATAATAGAAAACCATTAAGGTTCTCTTGTAGATGGGTTGGGATTTAAAAAAACATCAAGAGGAGGCATCAGTGGATTAATAGGTGGTATCAATTGTTTCTAATCCCTTTGTATGAAGCATTTCAATTGTTGCATATGCATAATTTCTGGAAGATCAGTTTATTGGACGTCATGCCGAACCTCATAAATTTGTGGTCCAACTCACTATAACACCTGATACAGTCTTTTCCATTGAGCAAGGAGCTTTTTAGATAAACCATGTATCATAAGATGGGGAAAATAGACTAACACCAAGTCATCCACTTTGTACTTTGCAAGTGGATGATGATGGGAGTTGTAGTGCTATTGTTGTCTCATTTGTATGCGGCCTAAGTGTTTGGTAGATGTGGCAATTGCAAACGTAAACCTAGCTCTATTGGTAATATTGGATTATGATTATGTAGGAGTTTATGTGGTGAAACGCTAATAGAACTTTGCACCCCTGTGACATATATATACCAAAGAGATGGTAGATAACCATCTCAATCTGAATACTGAAAGTTCACATACTTTACGATCATTCCTTTGAATGTCTGAATAAGCCATTCCACTAAACTGTTTGATTGTGGATGATAAGCACTCGTGAAAGTGTGGCATATCCCCAACGGAGATGTCAAAACATGAAATGCCTTAGCGATAAATGCAGGACCATTATCCGAAAGAATCTGCTCTGGACAAGAATGCTAAAACACCACTTGATTGAGGAGGAAGTATCCAACAATAGTTGTAGAGGCATTAGCATGAGCACCAACTTCCACTCAACAAGTCAAATAGTCAGAAGCAATAATAACATATTCATTGCCAGTAGTTGATCGTGGAAAAGGTCCCATAAGATCAAATGCTACTAATTCAAATAAACAGGAAATTGCAATTGACTTCAACCGTCCTTCTGCGGCATGAGGGGGAGTATTATGAGCTTGGCACCAAATGTAGTTACACATATATTAGATAACATCACGTTGCATTTCCAGACAATAGAAAGACCTACACAGTTTCTCGGTTACAAAACGATGTTCCATATATATGTCTAGAATAGAAGAATGATGGTAAGCATGAAGAAACCGTAGAATAAATACGGAAGGCACCACTAGTCATAAAGGATCATCAAGATCTATCCCCACAAAATAAAAAATGCCGTCTTCAAAGCGATATTGAGAATGTAAATGCCGAAATGGCAAGTCATCAACAAGTGATGCAAGATTCTCAAACCCATCTCAAAGCCTTCGAATCCACAGCACAATTTTCTGAGCTTCATGAACCTCATCAAGAGAAGGTAGATCTTGCTCTACAACTTGTGGACATTAAACATCAAGTATATCAACTGTCGACGACATAGAATCCTCGTCTAAAAAGTCCACAAATGTTGGAACAATAAGCTCATCAGAAACATGGGAAGAGAGTGGAGAAAGAAGAAGAGCTTGAGAAAGGGCATTAACATTAGCCATAGAATTCCCTCTATAATGAATAATATCAAAATCATATATCTAAAGCTTCAAAGCCCACTGAGTAGTATGACTAACCAGGTTCTTTCACTTCAATAATGAAGTAACAATAACATAATCACCTTCAAGTAACGTTTAAGAACCATGTAGATCTGCATGAAATTTCTCGAAACCCCAGATTGCTACTAAACACTCCTTCTTTATTATGGAGTAGTTCACCTTTGCTGGTTGTAATGTATGGCTTATATACGTAATGGGATGGCACTGACCAGGCACACTCGGGCTCTTTTGCATCAACACACCTCCAAAACCAATATCAGAAACATCCAGGTGCAAAATAAAAGGTTGAGTGTAGTTAGAATATGCCAAAACCAGAGGTAGCTATTTGAGATCCACAAGCACCCACTCACAATCTAGAGACCAAATGAAAGATGACGTTGATGACTTTAGCAACACTCGCAACAGTGCAGTGCGATTAAAAAGATGATCCATAAAACAAACAAGATACTGCACCTTGCCTAAGAAGCATTACACATCATGCACACACTTCAGAATAGGGAACTTTAAAATAGCCACAAGTTTGTCAAGATCAATTTGTAAACCCCCACGAGAAATACGGTACTCAAGATAAATTGTGTCCTTGGACCCAAACACGCATTTCAACTGCTTCAACTTTAAACCAACGTGCTGTAGCTGATCCAACACTTTACAAACATCATAAACGTGCTCCTTCAACATCCCCTTCGAGTGGATTAAGACATCATCAATGAAGTCAATAATCACCTCTTGTATATCGCAAAGAACCTCGTCCATCATCCATTAGAAAGTTGCTGGAGTATTTTCAAACCAAATGGCATCACCAAGAACTCGTACAAACCAAACAATGTATGAAAAGCAGTCTTAGAAATATCTTTATTGGTTCAAGTAATCATTGTCGTGCTCTCTCATAAACTTTTCTTGGATTGGACTGAAGGCAGTGCGAAAGCAAGCTTGAGGTTTGGTCAAAGATGAGACCGAAAAGAGAGTCATCAAGGATGAAAGATCAAATACATAAATCATTTTCTCTTCTTGGAGAGATGATTTGCAATGAGGTGTGACTTATTGCTTGTGTTCATAGTATGCAATCAAGAGTCGACCTTGATACATGTTAGTTATGGGCTTGCTATTGAAAACTTGGGTTACAATGCTTAATTCTTTTCTGGGGAATCTTATTATTGCTCATTGAGTAGTTTGGTGTTGGATTAGTTTTGAGTTTGGTCTGAAAGAGAGTGGCATGAATTTATCTGTGTTGTGAACAAAAGTTAGTGGTGTTAAATGTTATAAATCTCTATCGGTAGAGTGTAGCATTTATGTTGCATTTTGTCGAATCGACTTGGCACTTGATAATTACATAAACCTTTGAAGTAATGACATAGGTGTTGCTTAATTGATGATTAAGTCATTGTGATACTTAAATCATATCCATGTGATAAAGAGTAATGTGTTTACAAACTTGTTTGGTTAAACGATGATCAACCTCAAAGTTTTTGATAGTGAAGCTCGTCTACTTGCATATAGTAACATTCTAGTAGCTTTGACTAGATTCTTTATGGTGATTCATTATATTAAGCTTAAGTTAGTTCCTTGGTTCCTTGAGTTTGCCCATTGAGGTGTTCAAAAGGGTTATAACATTCATTTGTTATGGCTTGTTGGTTGATCTATTGGCACTTGGGGTAGATTGTTAGATGGAGAAGGTGTGTAGTTGAGGCATTGACATTGCTAACACTTGTGTTAGTGGAAGTAGCATTGTTGTTTCAAGTGATGAGGAATTTTCCTTAGACCTTGAATTTCTATATCATTTTTATTGTTAGTGTTTTGGCTTCATATTAAATCTTAAAGGTGATTGAAGAAAAGTGTTAGTGCAATGTGGATATCCAAAGATGTGGTCTTCATGATCAAGCCTTGGATGTTCATTTTGCATTTTGCGAATGTCAATGTTAAATGTCAGAAATATGGACACATTATTCGAGGCTTAAGCATACTATGGATCATGTGAATTTGTGTTGAGGTGAACCTATGTAAAGATATTGGTAGGAAGTTAGTTGAGTCTTAAAAGTTTGATTTTCTAGACTGAGAGTTATTCTTTCTCTAGGATGGAAAATTTTCCACAAATTTTCCTAAACTTTTTCAATGGCTAATCTATTTATCACTTTGCTTGAAAACCATTCCATTTTCATAAGCCAATACAAACTAGTGAAAGGGTTAGAGTTGACTTTGGTTGGCTTAGATTTTAATAAGTAATTTGTATGATGCGACCCGAAAGGGATGCTAACTTTTGGGGTTAAAGGCAATTAAGTTGGATAGAGTCTGGAGTTAGTGTAGTAAAGTGGTTGTTACGCTTTTCTAGAAATATGACCCTTGTGCCTTTTTTTTATAGCATTGTGCTTGGTGGTAAATTGGATCTTGCATTTTGTTAGATTCTATGAGAGTAATGAGCTCTCACTAATCTTGACTTGGTCTTGGTAACTCTGTACCTTAGTTAAGGATAGTGATGTCCAACTTAGTTGTTTAAAGTTGAGATGTTAGTACCTGTACTATAGCTTTGTCTATGAGGAGGTTGTGTACCAATATAAATCCATCTTATAGTCTTCACTTTAGTTTCAGTTGAGTGTTGATCATGCATAGCTAGCCTCTTTAAGACATGCTTAAAGCTATTAGTTAAATGCATTAGTGAGTTTATTGCGATTGAATTAGATTCGAGTGGTCATTTAGTTTATGCTTGTCCATGAACCTTTGTCTCATGTCTAGGATATTATGTTCATGCTAAATAAGTATATGACTCGATGGCATTAGTTTAGTGTTGGGTCCTTTGAAGGCAAGTTGAAATAGTGATTGTTAGTTGCTTGT